AGTCGCGCACTTGATGCATTCGAGGGCGACGGCGGAGCAGAAGCAGGCCATCCACCCCTCTTGGTCGTCCTCGAACTTGACGGCGATCGTCTTGCTCTGCAGCTTGATGAGGACGTGGCAGCCTGTGTGGGGGGGCGAGAGAGGGGGGGGGGGGGGGGGATTGACCAGGGAGGGAAGGTGCAGGGGGGCCAGGAGGGGGGCGGGGGCGCACCGACGTGCTCGCCGGACTCGGGGCAGGAGAGGCTGACGATGGTGCGCATGTCGAACTTGCCCTGCGGGAGGAGGGGGAGCTTGAGACGCGCGGTTTGGCGGGGCCTTGCCCACGCGCAGACCGCACCGTGCGGTTGGACTTGTTGCCGTTCTTGTAGTAGGAGACGAAGTTGCCCTCGACCACGAAGAAGCGCTTCTCCTGCAGGACGGGAGCGGGCGGCGGGTCGGGGGCGGGGGCTCCTCGCGCGATGCGGCCGCCCTCCCTCCCGAGCGCGCGCGGGCGATCAGAAACGCTCTGGAGATCGTGTCACCTGGCGCTTGCAGAACGACTTGCCGCGGTGCGACTTGAGTGCCCAGCCGCTCTTTTGCGTGGAGGTCATGATGAGCTTGTGCTGCGACGAGGAGAGGTGCATTGGTAGGGAGCACAACGCGGAAGCGGGGGCGGCGCCGACGCCGGCCGCGTGTGGTGGGGCGCACGGCGCGCGTCGATTATGTGGGCCCTGAGGGCCGTGAGAGGCGGTGGCGGCGGGGGCAGGCGCCGCAGGCGCGCGGCGATGCGGGCACTCGGGGCGAGCGATGAGGATTGGTGATGTACCTCGATGGATACCGCCTCGTTTTGACCTTGTGTGACGCGCCGTGTTTATTTTTTTACCAGCGCAGAGCCTGACCGCGATTTTCGAGGGGCTCTCTCTCTGGTTTTCAACATTCTCTCTCTCTCTCTCTCTCTGACTCTGTCCACACCCTCCCACGCGCCGGGGGTGGGGGTGGGGCTTTTTTTGTTCCCGTGCGAGAGAGATTTTTATTAACCAACAAGAAATCACGACTCTCACAGTGATTTGGGCTCGGCAGCTTGTTAGCCCTCAGCCGAAGCTGGGGCCGGTCCCGTAGCCGAGAGAGCCCGCGCCGATGAGTTCGACGCGGTCGGGGGGGCCTGCGGAGAGGCCAGCGAGTTGGCGATCGCTGTACTTCATGGCGCCCTCAAAGTGGGGCTGGCTGACTCGCCAGAGGTCGATACTCTGGACGACCCATAGGATGCGTCACGATTCTTCTTCTCCCGTGCGTGGGCCTCCCTCTTTTCGTGTTTTGAACAGCCCGTCGTTTGAAAAAGAGCCACAGCACACACCCTGTCTCACATCTCCACCACACGATTTGATCTCTGCTCTCCTCCTCTGTCCCTCAAACGCGACACACAAACACGCGCGAGAAGGGCAGGGCACCTCCTCCTTTTTTAGGTGCCACGCCCGCGACTGGCTCGGCGGCGGCATTCGCCGTCCGCCCTTCGCCACACAGACCCGCCGTCGAACTCCCTCGCCACCCCCTCTTCCACCACGGCGGCGTCGCCTCCCCCGGCACGTCTCCGTCAGTCGGTGGCAGAGAAGTTCCGCTGCACGGGCATGCGCCGATCCTCGCAAGCGTCGATCCACAGCTTGAGGGAGTCAGCCGGCGCGCGCAGGAACACCGCGTGGCCGTCGCCAAACGCCCACGAGAGGTTGCGGGTCGTCATGGTTCGCGCCGTCGCGCCCTGCGGCGGCTTGTGCAGCCGGAGGGTCGCGCGGCTTGCGGCGCCGACGAAGCGGGGCGGGGCGGCGGCGAGGCCGCGCGAGTAGTAGGCGAGCTCGTCCTCGTGCAGCACGAACCAGCGCGTCTTCCACCTCGCGACGGCGCCCTGGCCGCGCTTCTGCAGCGGGCCGCACTTGACGGCGCCAAACAGCCCACGCAGCTCCTCCCTGCCCCGCGGCGCGCTCGGCACCGGCGCAGAGCTGCGGCGGGCAGAGGCCTAAGGACGCGTCACGGACGTGTCGCGGGCGTGTCACGGGTGTGTCTCGAGCCGCCCGGCCGGGCGGGCAGCCTTGCCCGACCTCACGGCGGGCGCGAGGCTGGCTCGCGCCGCGGAAGGAGAGCGCGCCGACGGCGAGCTGCGTGACGCTCCGGGGCTGGTGTGCAGATCGCCCATCACCTAGTCGACGGCGGACGCGTCTCGGGACGGCGGCCCCGCGGAGCACAGGCACCGCCCTCGCAAGGCCAGGCACCTCCGTCACGAGCGTGCTGCACTGCGCCGCAAGCGGGGCCGCCGCTGCTCCCTCTCGGGGAGGCGCCGCCGCCTCCGCCTCCGCCGCCTTGCTATCCGCAGTTGCGGGCGAAGGCGCGCGACGGCTAAACCAGCGGCCGGGGCCGGCGCGCTTCGCGTTTGGTGGGGTGAGCGGGGCAGCTGCCGCCGGCCCCGCCGACGCCACCGCCTGGGCGGCGACCGCAACCTCCGCGGCCACCGCCGCCGCCGCAGCCTCCACGCCGGCTGGCCCGGGGTGGTCCGAGTCCGCAGCCTCATCGTCGCTCTTGTACCCGTCCTCCGACGTCTCTAGCTGCCCCTCCGCCTCCGCCTCCACCTCCGACCCCCCCTTCGCCTCCGCGTCCGACGCCTCCGCCTCCGCCTCCACCCCCGCCTCCCCAAGCACGAGCCGCCCGAGCCCTGTCGCCGCCGCCAACGCTTCTCCCCTCGACCCGCCAGCGTCGACCGCCTCAGACGCCCCCGCGGCACCCCCCGACGCCCCTCCGGCCCCCTCCGCCTCCGCCTCTCCACCCCCGTCCGCCTCCGCCTCTGTAGCTCCACTCCCCTCCGCCTCTCCACCCCCCTCCGCCTCTCCACCCCCCTCCCCCTCCGCCGCCGTGTCCGCCGCCTCGGCCGCAGCCTCCGACTCGGCCGCCTCGCTGTCGCTGCTCGCAGCCTCGCCTCTCGGCGGCTGCCCCGGGCTCCGATCCTCCTCTGCGGGCCGCTCTGGCGCGCCCGCCAGCGAAGGCACGGCGGTCCCGCGCT